CTCGTTGATCGTCGATTAGTGTGATTTCATCGATCAAATTCTATCGATTGATAGACACAGTCTGATCGTCAACCCTCTCAATTTCCATTAAAGAGCTTACGTTGATAGGGTAAAACTAGGCCATCAAATAGAGAATAAATCATCATAATTCGAGGAATATCCTTCTCTTGGACGAGAGGACCCTCGTGGAATGGTTGAAACATGTTGTATTCTCTTGATGATGTTTGGGGGAGACAGCTGAATAATCCCGTTATGACAGTCAAGGAGACTAGCATCTATCTTAGATTGACTTTATTGCAGTGACAACCTTGAATGATTCTACGTCTGCAGCTCGGGCTGATAACACCTCAACCAACTTGCTGACTTAGGCAGCCTCAGATTTGTCATATCCGGTCAAATATCTGATTCGCTGATCCGCCTTTTGTCGGGCTCTCCAGTTATTAGGAAATCTCCTCGAGATTCGTGATGGCATAATTCTACTTAAAATACATAAAAAAATTACACTAAATGAAATAAATGTTAGTAGGATCCTAACACTACGTAAGAGTACATAAAAATTTTGTATTATATAGAATACATCATCATTATGATAGTGTCAACCTATTATATTGCCCATAATATTATAAAAAATTTTAACTTTCTTTAATATTTTTAGTAGTCTTTTAACCATGCGTTGATTCCATTGAAATTGCACGCCATCAACAATATATCAAGCAATAATTAAAAAAGCATGAACTTCATTACTTCACTTTAATTTGCATTTCATGCCATGTGGATTCATTGGCTTTTTGCATAAGCGACCCTTTGGCTTTGCGTATTCTTTGCCTTACAAGCTACTTGTTGACCTATTAAGTCCTTAACATATATATATATATATATATATTGCAATTTTTTAAGAGAATGGGGACAATATGCAATTTTTAAGGGCTAATGTGTCATGTCAAAAATCGAATATAGTGTTTATATTAGAAAAAGGAGAATTCAGTGGAGGGGGCAAATATATCATTTTACAACCCTAAGACTTGATAATATGACTGTGCGAGCCAGAATTTAACAACCCTAATTCTGTCCTAAATATATTTTAAAAATTGACATGTGTGTTCTATATATTATATTAATGTACATAAAAATTGTGCAAGTTTGAATCTCTTAGCAAGATGAGACAAAGTCAGGACAACCCGAGGCTAGGACGATCTCAAGCCTGGATGACCCAAAGCTAGCACGACTCGAGGTCGAAGCCAGGACGACCAGGGCTTCCTAAGGGCAGGATGACCCAAAGTCAGGACGACCTGAAGCCTAGATTACCGGAGGCATGGATGACTAGAGGCGAAGACGACCCAAAGACTAGATGACCTGAAGCTAGAATGATTTGAAGTTGGGACGACCCAAAGCCAAGACGACCCAGGTCAGGATGAGTCGGAGCCCAGATAACCCAATATAGCTGACCTGAAGACTAATACATATAAAATACCAAAAATAAACTGTAAAACCATCATTAAAGCAGGGTTAAAAACATAATATCTTCATATTGTATTGTATCCCGTATTAATAAGTCATAATTTCATGTAAGATGGATTTTTTAACACTCTCTCCCTCCCTCCC